ACTCCCCATCATTTCACTACCATCACAATGTAATTAACACAACTGACTGATTGCAACTTTTATCTATTAAATGTTATCTGCTGCCTGTTCACATGAGGAGTTTAATGTACAGTACGATTGGTTGCTATCTCTAGACAAAAGAATGGAAACATCTCATGGAAAAGATCTTCTTCCTCTTCCTCACTTATTTCGTTACGATTATAAACACTGCTGCAAACGTGGGTCGTGTTAGGTTGAGGGCCAATTAGCAGCACTTATTGTTTCTAAAGGAAGGCTGGCAGTCAGCACTCTCATATCCACGTTTTTTCAAAGCAACATGAGACTAGCAGAACTCTAAAGAGGCCGACCGATTTGTGGCAAACTGCAGGGGCATCAGTGAAGAAAACAAATTGCAAAATAATTTAACATGTGGAGGGAAAGGGTCTCGAAACTCTACCAACCAACTACGTCAAATATGGGGAGAAGTGATCACAAGTTAAAAAGAATCTATTAGTGAATCTATTAGTGAATAAGATAAGAGATAAGATATTCCTTTATTGATCCCACTTAGGAGAAATTCAGGTTGACATAGCAGCAATAGGGCAAAGTAGTTGCCAAAACAGAGAACAGGAATATCACAAATATAACAAATACAAAATATAATTTAGAACGATCTAAAAAATCTATCTATATTTCTCATTGTCTGAAGGTCAAATTTGTCACCCGGTCTTTTGACTATAATAATGCTTTATTTAATGATCCTCATGTGGATCAAAGGACCTTTTGTTGAGGAATATGATGTGGAAATGTGATGCCAATCTCCTCCATTAAAAGGCCCATCACTCTAATGAGCCAGGGGCATGAAAAGAAAATGAGCTTTGAAAGAGGAGGGGGGGTGTTATGTCAAGACTGAGAGCTCTTATTGTCTGTTTCTTATGATGGATGAATAATTATGCTGCTTAAACCGGGATACCACAACTCACACGCACACACACACACACACACACACACATAGAGACTGTTTAAGTAATCTATAACCAGCGGGTAACAATACAGCATGTGGTATAACCATAATGATGCAACAAAACCTTTGATTAAAGTTTAATTGTTTACTTTTTGGGGTGTGCTGCCGTTTTTTTTTTTCCAATTCATTAACTATTGAGCGAATCAGAGAGGAAGATAGTGAGAGAGAGGGGGAGAAAGTAATATTCACTGATAGAATGAAAGACAAACTGAC